AAATTATGTACCATGTACTTTACTTCATAAAGGTTGGGTATTAATGTATTAAATCCAGAGATAAAGCACCTTCTTAGATGAGTCCTATAACACATCCCTTCTCATAATGGCTGACGAGCGCGAGAAAATGAGGTCACCCAGTCATCTTGCAAGGCTGAGGAGAGGGCTTAGGATGCTCATCACTCGACTTTACCCCACTGGGGTTTCATTATGCAGCAGTAATCCATGATCTGTAAGCAATAAGAGTGAAAAGTTCCATAGCTGCTTGATCTACACAGTAAACTAAGTTCAAAACGTTTTTGCCATTATGACAATTTTTTTCATTTCAAGGCATTTTCCCAATGAAGACGACAGCTGTTACACTGGCCTACAGGATGAGCTGCTCTCTGATGCCTACAAAGATGCCTGCAGGGCAATATTTGTTAAATTTGATGGACAAAGTTGTGGAACAAGGTCAGTATTCAGTATTAATGGTCAGTTATTAATGAACTATGAAAGACTATCACCTAATTACCTATCTTAGTGGAGGTCTTGATCTCAGTGGGAAGAGAGATCAGGATGATAGACCAAAAGATAGGTTCCTTATCGTAAACTTGTGTCATATTTTTAAAGTATTATATATTTCCATTAAATTATTAAACTTTTTAGCTTGCTTGCATGGGCGTAATAGTTTCCTATTTTATACCAATTGTCATTCCCTTGAGAATAAGATTCTTCGTTTCAGTTGTATCCATATATATATATTACTGTTTTTACCACAAATGTAAGTCTTATTGCTTTCTGATTGGTCAAGAGCCATGGTATGAATAAGAGGACATACCAACAAATTACGTCGACAAATTACAAATCCCTCTTGTTCGAAACCATATTTCTTTCAAAATTTGTGAGTGGTGTTTTTCTTTGTTCGTAGATAAAAGGACATTACATGTTAAACCATCAAAATTTGTTAATTCCTCCCATGATATGCAACCAACAAACAAAGAAATATTACTCTAGAGAATGACATGTGGTCTGCAATGGGAAAACATTATTCCCAAACTGAAAATGGTCATTGAGAAAACAAAATGT